TATTATGACCTGGTTGAGGGGGTGAGCGACCGCGATGAGCCGACGTACCTTCGTAACAGTCGAGGCGACAGGGCGCCAAGCGCATGGCCTCTCTGAAATGGATGATGGCTTCCTGGACTCGGCCCATGTTTCTCAACGCTGCCCCCTTCAGGAGGAGGGCCTGCACACTGTTGCTGTTCAACTGAATGGCCTTGGCTCCCAGGTACAGGGCTCTGGAGTAACGCTTACTGTAGAAGCTGTGACAGCTAACAACATAAACTTATGTTAGTAGAAAACATGCAAAATGGTGTCTCTTCTATGCATAGTCTAGTTCACATTAGCTCTGTCTCCTTGAAACATTTATTTAGGTACCATCTTTACTTGACATGTCAACAGTGCAACAGTAATTTCATGTTGGTCATTAACTTGGAAAACTAGGTGGGGGTTTTTTGCTCCTGCTCGATAACATTCAACAACTAGCTCGACAGAACACACTCGGGTGCCAGTCTGGCTACACGCATGCTCACCCCGAAATCACCCAAGGTTCCGCATGCTGGTCAGAGATATTGAACAGACGTCCGCCGAGGACCTCAACATCTTCCAGGTGTCCTTCTCGGGCCCACAGGTAGCCATACACATCCATCCCTGTCAGTATACATCACAGCACTGACATTTAGCACAAAGGAGAGAGTCGACCGCTTCTTCCTGCAGCTTCCAAGTCTTATTTAAATACACCGCAATCCAAATGATGTGCTGTTTTGTTCAACACAGTACCTCCTTTGTGAGCTATCTAGTTACGAAAATATGTCGGCAAGCAAAACTTTGAATGTGGGGTCAATGAATGTTGTCTAGCAGTACCTTTGATTAGATACGGGTCCAGCATCTGGGCTTGTTCAAATTTGAGGATGGCATTTTTGGTGTCACCTGCCCTGAAGTAGACGTCTGCCAGGCTCACCAGGAGGTCCACGTTGTCCCGCAACAGAGACTTCTTCTCCAGAGAACTGAGTCCAAGTAAGGGAGAGGAAGCCATAAGGTGTTGCGAAGTTATTCAATGAGATATTAAATGAGTTATTAAATTTTGCCAGTCCGTCATCATCAGGCCTCCATTATTTCAGGCCGGCCCCCTTCGTCACTTCGTCATCCTTATTTTAACCGCACTTCCGTCTTCGCTAAGGACCGTCGGCAAAAAACGGTTTACAACAGTAACAGAACTCACTTTTATTCTTTTAGAAACTGTTTGAACCACTTTACCCAACAAAAATATAAATTCTGATATTGTTTCGGCCCCTCCTCGTGTTTCTGCCAATCGTATTTGCTTTTCAGGTTAGTGACGGTTTGGGTGATGGCCGAAAATCGTTTCTGCTCAACGTTTCCATCAGTCCGCCAGTGAAACGGGAGTCAACCATTGGCGGACTGATGGAGCTTCCGTCGTAACTGATGGACCGCCCCCTCATTGTCATTTACATGCCCAACACTGGTGATGAAACGATCTTTGCTTACCAAATGGTGTTGATGGCCCTTTGATTGTCCCCTGCATGTATAAAGGCATATGCCTTGATCCAAACAGAAAGCCAGTCCAGGTTGGGGACACTCTGGATCACATCCATGGTCATGGACGCTACTTCAGCCCCTTTGACTGATAAAGAGAGAAGGCCTGCGGAGACACGCAAAAATCAAACTTTTATGATGGAGTGAGCATAACACGAGGCGACAGAGGGCAGATGAAAGCATCAGGAGCTGCTTAGGTCGTGCATACCAATAATTGCATCTAAGGCGAGGGGGCACTGTCGGAGGACTTCTTTGTAGCTCGTCACTGCAGAGCGTTCCTGGCCAGCTTTCCTGTAAAGGTTGGCTAGCATCATGTTGATCTGGGGTCAAATGGAAATGGACAACAATCTCAAAAGACACAAAAAGACAAATCTGTACCATGACACTTTTTGGCATCCCTCAATCAAGGTAACTGCAGTATTATGATGAGCTGTGTTTACTTACTCTATTATGGGCCTCTTTTTCAAAATCAAATCATTTGGCCAGGTTCACACAATAAAGTGCCTCTAAGAATCTTGACGTCAGAAGCCTACCTTTGGAGTTCTCTGTCGAGAGGGAATCCCATCGAGCACTGCAATGGCATCTTTATCCAGTTTCAAAATAGTATAACATTCTGCTATCTTGTACTTTACTTCAATCTCTGAAGGTAGACTCTGGAAAAACAAAGTTCATATTTATGGACTGGTTAAGGAATACATGGTTACGAAGGGGCAAAGATGAACACACAACTATAAAAGGAATCAAACTATTTCTCACGAACATGACATTAGAAATGTAAGAAACATATTCTGATTTTTTTTTTCAGTTAGGATCCAAAAGATGATCCCTATGTGTTTTTAAGTAATTAAGTAATTTCATTCGGATGGATTTACAATGACGCAATGCTGATATTTTTGCCCTGAAGTGGCACAATTTGTATTATCGACTATCCTCTGCATCTGCTAAAACAGCACAACCTGTACATATTTGAAAAACAGCCGCTGTACATCAAAAATACAGCAAACGAATAGACCATGAACTATGGTCTATATGGCAAATTAGAGATGTGTTCATCATTAATCAAGTCAAGTAAATGCCCATGGGAGGCCTGCGGAAGAATGTGCCATTCACCCATAATCCAAGAGCAACTCAACAAACATAACATTCGATGTTTGCATTACTGTTCATATTGCTAGTACCGTCTGTTAACACTTGAGTAATTCTTTTGCACACTCAAGGGATGTAAAAACAGTCAAGCTGTACTGCATATGTAACCCTTAGTATAGGCATTAAAGGTGAATTGAGAACTTGGAACTGCAGCGCAAAAGTAAATCCATTTAAGAGAATTCCATATGTATACCGTTATACACACTTACAGCTGTCTTCATAAAATATTTTGAATGCCCATACCTGTGCCTGAAGGTTTGCCGCCGCTCCACCAGCAGAGGTACGAACTTTGGATGTCTTGCTGAGCACCTTCTTCTGTTGCAGTGCCATGCTGTATTTACAGGCAGCATTACGATACTCTTTATCGTGGAAGATGGCATCGGCATGGTAAACCAACAGCTGGTACTTTTGAGCAGGTGAGAAAAGCTCTCTAGGAGTCAAACAGATACAAATACAGGTCAATAGCACGAGACTGCAGCATGTCTCTATTCTTACAACGGTGCAAGACATAGGTCAATTTAATTTGTGAAAGTTTGATGTTACATTGAAAAAACTACCTATTAGGGGGAGGAATAAATTACATTTTCAAACCAGAATGTCACCGACTATTAGAAATTAGACAGTCCCTTATTGGTGACAGCAATTTAAATATCACATTTCAAATTGACGTCACGTCACCAAAGACGTGAAATTATGTCCCATGGTAAGAAAATTGAATGTACGGTATAGCAAATTCGAACGCATGCGAGTATTGCATCACATTTAGTACATCCCTTGCCGTTTAACAAAAGCAAACATTTTAGTGTTTTGCTATGCTCGTGTATTATGTTTTCATTTCACCGTATTTATGACACTTGCGTAATTGGCTTTAAGCAAACCGTTAACGACTTTCGAGTAATACAGTTTGTTGTTTGACGCTAACCAAAGAGCAACGCACTAAAATTGTAATGACTCAACTGAGGCTGTCAAAGTGGGATATCAGCAAATAGACGGATCCCGATTGGATATACTTACGGGCTGTTATTACTCATCGTCAACAACAAGCTGCTCAATATGCGGACGTTGGAGTGGAGACCAGCGGCGGCCATTTCTCGAACATGATCCACAACATTCATTTTCGTGTAAGATGAGGTGACGGTTTAATTTTGGGTGACAATTCGTATTTCAAAGTTTCAGCTTAGAAGCAGCTAATGCTATCTTGCAAGCTCAGTTCTAGTGTATTAAAAATGGCGCCCGATGACACCTCTTCCGCATGATGGGGAATGCTACATTTACGTGCACTTAGAAGTATCCGAGGTTCTTTCCATCTGTTCTACAGCGGTGGCCTTTGTTTGTATTCACAGCCAGACGAGCTAAATATAAGTTATTATTTTTCTTTCTTTTATCCTATTATATATATAGTCGCCTACCTTAACAATACAATCACAAATATCAAACGTCAACATTTGAACTAATGTGTGGCACTAGATTAGGCGTTAGGTTGCGTATGCTATGACTGATTCGGTTTGATTATTTGAGTTTAAAAAAAGTTGTGTTTATTTGCCATAATCGATAATTGTCCTGCTGGTGTTAGTTTGCTCTGAACGGCTGTGATTGGTCGAGCTGGAGTGAGAAATTCTCAGCCGATCACTCTTACCACACCACTATGGACTGGCATCACCTAGGTAACGCAGATTTTGTACTTGTAGATCTCACACGATTCACTGCATTGTCGGTCAAGGCAAAATAACCACTGCGCATAAGAGAAAACAATCTAAAACGGTAACACTGCCTACAAATTTATACAGTACTGTGCAGTTACAATTATGTACTGTATACAATACATACATTTGAATGGTGTCTTTTACAAGTGCACTGAATGTCACACGTTCGATTCAAACAACTTGGGGTTAATTGTTTTATTAGCATTCTTACGCATTAGCATTCTTATAATACTGTCAATATGCATTTGTTTTGTAAGATAAATTTAGAGTTAAAACATTTTCAGACTTAAGGTAAGTAGCGTATTGTACAACTATAACATTTAGAGAACCACACATTGCATTTCATTGTTTTGGGATGCCACATTTGCTGAGCAAAATATTAATGACTAAAAACGCATTTTATCTTGTATCTTACTTCCAATGCTTGTCATGGCTCCCTTATAATTTTTTTGTTCATTTTGTGAACCGGAATGACTAAATTCTCACAGGTGGTGTTTTCAAATGAGTGGATTTTCCAACACGATCGCATCGGTATGGTTCAAATGGGCGAAGCTGAAGGCGAAAACGTCGTCTTTTTGAATGCGACGGGGACTAGCAGTCAGACACTCGCAAGCGCTCGATTAGATGCACGCATGCGCATACGCCGAAACCAGCAGCTGAACCGTGTGTCAAAACAGAGAGGGAAATCGGCAGCAGGCAGCAAATCTGGGCTAGCTTTAAATTTTGTGGGAGGATTCAGAAAACCCGATTTTTCAATAACGTACACATACCATGACCGAACAATCAGCGTTGCTTCTTCGAAAACAGCTTGCAGGTAAAATATTATCACTATGCACGGGGGGGGAAAGTAGTCGAATGTAAAGTTTACGTGGGTATAAGCTACGTTCGGGTCCTTGCCACGCAAAGCTATCGTGTGAAGCTCAGAGATGTAAATATAACACAGTGGCTTCTGGTTGCAGTAACACATAGTAATAGCTGTTAGCGTCTGACGACAAACCGAATTTTCATAGTTCATAGGTTGAATAACCATTTCAGAAACTAAAACACAATCGCAACGTAGCCTTGCTAACGGGCTAGCGAGTTCGTCACTAGTTAGCTGACAGAACAAAGGAATTATCAGTTCACGGACCGATCACCTTTAATCGTGTTTAGCAAATGATACAGCATTACAAATCGCACCGTTTGTAAATGTAAAACTTCAGAGTGTCAAATTACAAATGAACTATTTTACGGGATTATTTTCAGTGTTTCTCGTCCGAGCGTTTGTTTTATATGGACCAACGCAGTTCGTTCGTGCTGACTCCGAATCGCAAACAAATTGTTATCCAGGTGGCGTTCTCTGACAGCCATCGACTGTATTAACAGCATTCCTCGGGATGCTTGAAAAAATGCGAGTCCCACTCATTTACAAGGATGCAGCGCGGGCGCACGATGCGTGCAGCTTGCACAATGACTTTCCCGATCAATTTGCCTTCACCCCAGTCCAAAATGCTATCAAAAATCTCTTGCCCGCGGGCTACTCATGTGGTCCTTGGGGGCTACCTGGTATCCACGTACACCAAATTGGAGACCTCTAGCATATGTATGAATGTGTGTGTGTGTGGTTTTGTGTAGATGTGAATGAACTTCAAACCTGTGAAATCAAACCAAGAAAAAAAAACAGTGGTGAGCAGAGATATAGTGGGGGAAAATGGAACTCATAATCTCAACCTGGACAGGTGATGTTAAAAGCAGAGATGTCAGACAAATTTTTGTCGCAGGCCACATTATCATGACGGTTTACTGCAGAGGTCTGTTATGCCTGTGAAACCAGACATATTTTGAATCTTGTCATATTATTACATATGCACAACAACTGATGGATAACTACTTTTGAAATCAGATGGCAATGATGATGGTTTGTTCAACAATTATTCAAGTTGCTGTAACCGCCCCCCCGCCCCCCCAAATAATGCTTGCAGTATCTCTGTGTTATTATTCCACATATGACATTTAGAAATTCTGGTAGAGATTCTAGCAAGAATCATCACATTTGATGTTGAAGATTTGCTTTGAATAGGGGCCACATAAAATGAAGTGGAGGGCTGGACCTGAACCCCGGGCTTTGAGTTTCTCTCGTGGGGTTTAAAGTTGACTTTAGTCAGACAAGTATAATCTTAAAATAACCACTTTTAAAAAATGAAATCAACAAAACACCCTGCTTTTAGTTATATTAGTCGTCAATGTCCTTTAATGCACTGATCGAATTGCTGTACAAATTTACTTGCCACCAGTTGCTCTAAAGCAGGGGTCTCAAACTCAGGTTCTGGAGGGCCGCTGTCCTGCATGTTTTCCAAGTCTCCCTGTTGCAACACACCTGATTCAAATGAACAGGTTCAGTGTCAGGCTTCCGCAGAGCTTGCTGATGATCTGATCATTTGAATCAGGTGTGTTGCAACAGGCAGACTTGGAAAACATGCAGGACAGCGGCCCTCCAGGACCGGAGTTTGAGACCCCTGCTCTAAAGAAACCCTCAAGCGAAAACATTGTCAGTAATACAATTGGAACAACTCTTCCAAGAACGCCTTGTTGGTGAAGGTGGTTCTCACAATAATTTATATTTTAATCAAGAAATAATAGTGCACGTACTGCATTTGGGGTTTTATTTGTCAAACAATGCATTTCAAAATCCATAGCGATGGCTCCATCTTTTGAAATCAGTGTTGCAAGAAGGCCAAAGAAAAAGCAAAACCTGCCGAGAGTTAACCCTGTGCTGCTTGCAAAACTGAGGGGTCACGAGATATGCTGTTGCCTCGTCTCTTTGAAAGACTTTTCCCCAAATATTGTCAGAGTTGCAAATTGGATGTGGCTCCTCCACTGTCATTTGCTAATGTGCCGAGGAAGTTCAAGTTTGTCTGTGAGCAGCATTTATTTGCCTAACTGTCATAAAGGTGCTCTACCTTGAATGTTCGATTTGCTCATTTAAAACGTCCCTTCTGTCTCTTATTTCAGAGCTCAACAAGAACCCTGTGGAGGGTTTTTCGGCAGGTCTAATAGATGATGACGACATATATAAATGGGAAGTTGTGATCATTGGTCCCCAAGATACCCTTTTGTAAGTCAGCACTTATTCGACACATTCTCCATTATTTTTTTTCTCCAAACCATTTCACTTTATAATCTTTTCTATTGCAGTGAAGGAGGATTTTTCAAAGCGTATCTAACCTTCCCGTATGATTATCCTCTTCGACCTCCAAAGATGAAGTTCATAACTGAAATCTGGCACCCAAACGGTAAATGCTCAGAATGTCACAGTTTTGCCCATTTTGATTTGTTTGTGTCCAATAGTATTCCAAAATAACATTTGTGAGGTGAAAGGTTACTGATGTTGGATGTCTGCTGTACTTCACCCCAAAGTTGTTTCACTCATTCACTCCCAAAGATGTTTTTAAACGTCTTTTCAGACTTGGTCCAGAATTGGCTGGTACTGAATGAGTTAAGGAAGTCGGGGCAGTCAAGTTCACCCAAAGTCATCCCAGCATTCCCCAAGAGAGCTTTGCGCACTCGCCACACTTCTGCTGAAGCAGAAAAGGGCCTTCTCCAAACTCTCACCACCAAGCTGGAAGCATACAATTGACCAATATGTCTGAGGAAATGCAATTATTCAGGCAGAACAAGGGTTGATTGATTGGTTAATAAATAACTAGCGTAATTTAGAGAATGTTCTTCACACTGTGTATGATGCGGTGAATATTTTATTGTCAACTTTTAATTGCACAGGCATTCAATCTCGATTTACAAATTAAAAAAAAAAAACAATCACATGACCTGTCAATCGTGCTGCATTCCTCTGCATCCTCCACTTTGAGCTTTTAAGTCAACCTTAAACAGACAATTCTTCTCACGTGTGTACCCAAACAGTTGCAAAAAATGGGGATGTGTGCATCTCCATCCTGCATGAGCCCGGAGAGGATAAGTTTGGCTACGAGAAGCCCGAAGAGCGCTGGCTGCCCATCCATACGGTTGAGACAATCATGATTAGCGTTATCTCCATGTTGGCGGACCCCAACAGCGATTCACCAGCTAATGTAGATGCCGCGGTGAGTTGAACTGTGTGCACTTCTCATGCTGGGAAGACCTTCTTCAGCCTTTGTCTGGAGTCATCCTTGCGATGTTGCCACCCGGGATGGCGTTCAAAGTTGGATGTTTCGTTCCCAGAAAGAGTGGCGGGAGGACCCAAATGGTGAATTCAAGAGAAAAGTGGCTCGTTGTGTAAGAAAAAGTCAAGAGATGGCCTTTGACTAGAAGATGTGAATTCCAGGGTAAGAATGCAAAAAGTGTTCAATTACACGTCGTTGAATTTATACTTCTGCGATGGTGCCATTTAAAACTCGTCATGATGTCATTGTTGGATGAAATGTCACACCTCGTGTTTTCTGAAAACATCGTCAAACGACTAGTATTCGACAGACTTGGCACCAAAAACGCACCTGTTTTCCCAATGATTTCTGCGTGTTGCACACCTGGATGTTTTTAATGCTTTGATATTTGAAACCTCTTCATCAGCACAATAACTACTCGACGGATGAAGTGATATTCAGTGACCAGTCAGTTGTTGTTTTTTTTTCAGCGATAACGTTGTGTTGCACCCGAAAACATGTTTTCACAAATGTCCCAATGTCCTCAAAGCAATTTTTGTCATCTCAAAACATGAGATTCATGAATCTGCAATTGGTCAATTCAGAAATGTTTGTAATTCAAAATATCGCACGTAGAATTCTCGTGTCATTTCATGTAGGACACGACTGGAATGAATCTTCTTTTTTTTTCTCCCCCCAGTTGAAGGAAACGCCTCTTGAGGGAAACGGTCCGACTTCTGTGGCCCTTATTTCGCAAGACAAAAGGAATTGGTTGGCCTTCAACCTGGTTTCAAGAAGCGGTTGTGGTTTGTGACAAGACGAGCAAATTTGAGAAACACTACCAGCGAAATTCACTTACTTCCTACCTGGAATTGTATATTTAATTTTATTTATTTTGGAAAACTAATGATGTAAAATATGTCACTACTGTAAATTAACTTGCTTTTTTTATCTGCTGCTGAACAGTTTCTACTTTATACTACCAGGTTTCTTATGCAATTTAATGGTCAAGATGGAGTCGAACAAACGAAAGCCTGTTACCTTTACGTCACCGCCTGCCCTCTCAACGACATTCTGTACATGCCAGCCCTGCATAATCGTCGTTCATCGATGTGAGTGTGGATTTTCAAGACTCACCGTTGCCTTTTATTGGCTTTACTCCTTCACTCTGCTTCCTGTTCAGAAAGAGAGGACATTTTTTGTGGCACTTACTTTGTTTTGTTTTGGGTCCCCCACACCCCCACCTGCTAGCATTATCTATCTATGCGAGGGTCTAGCGATGATTCAAGCGTGCATGATCCCTTCAAACTCTTGCGTCTCGTTGCTATTTGTCATTGTGAACGGAACGGCTCACTCTGCTTTGAGAGCCACTGTCTCGTATATTGACTTGCACACACATGGCTAACATTAAACACTCGGTTTGTGCCAACTTCTCAGGATTCAATTCTAATGTTGCAATTAACACTCGATGGGATAGACTTTTAATATTCCTCATGGTCTTTCTCGCTCAATGATGATTTATTTCAACTACCGCAACCAAAAAGGATCCGTGGGCGGGGTGAAAAAAAAATTGTACAAGCTGTGATTATTCTGGCTGTGTAGTGTGTACTGCTGTGGCATCTGAATTTACCTCAATCTGGTTGTTCGGTTCTCAAAGCGGAGATGTTTCAGGGCTCCGTTGTTGAATTGGATTAGCTGTTAGTATGTTGTTGCACATTGGGCTTTCTCTGTGGGTAATACGTTTCACATTTGTTTGGGTTTAGATGCTGAGGACTGTAGGTAGATTGGGAGGTAAAACTTTCACCTTCAATTTTTCCCGATGCACATTTTGACAACATGTATCACGTTAAGGTCAGGATTTGGTTTTTTATTCTTTTTATGCATGAAGTTGACACAAACACCATTTGTCATCGGAGAAAGACACAATCCTGCATAAGAGGTTTAGAGTACACTGGTCAAAAAACGGCCCTTTCCACCTCAATAAATAATGGACTTGCCCATGACTAAGCCATGGCATCAAAACCAATACACTGATTTTTGGCACATGCAATCAGGGTTGAATGAGTTGAATATGTGAAGGACATCATTTACAATGTACATTCTGGGTGAATGTGATATATATGCTTTGACTTGATGATCATGTCTGAATTTTCTCACCTACCATGACCTCCTCGGACCGGTGTTCACTGTATTTGCACAGATTTGGTGCATATTTCAAACATCATCAAGCAATATGCTCTGAAATTGGTGTCCAGGTAATCCACCCTCTAAGGTTGCTACTTGTTTTGTTTTCCATTTTGTGTTATTGCAATGTATATTGGACGTGATGCTGAATAAAGTGTGTAAAATGAGTGGGTTCTTTGAACATTTCGATTTTTGCTCTGCGTTCCCAAATCTTGCTCGACGCACCCCAGTTGAGTCCAGTCAATAAAGTTGGGATATTGTGTAAAATGCAAATAGAAACATTACGATTTGCAAATCTCTTCAAGCTATATTTAACTGAATACACTACACAGTCAAATCATTTAATGTTCAAAATGGACCCCATTGCCACAGCGCCCCCCCCCCCACAAAAAAAAATAAAACTTGATGCTTGTCACAGGCAGGGGCGTGCAGAGGGTGGGGCCAACATGCCCCAGACATGCACCTTGAGTGGGGTGTACCATCCACAGCAACCTTTTTGCAACAAAACAATTGTTTGTCTGTTTGAACATTAAATATCTTGCCTTCATAGTGTATTCAATTGAACATATGTTGAAAAGGAGCTGCAAATTATTGTATTTTGTTATTTTTATATAATTTCCCTCCCTGAATGAATAAAATATCTTTTTTCGTGGAGTGCCATTTTCAACAAAATTTTATTCAGAGTGATATTTATCAATATTTTATTTGTTTATATTCCAGGATATTCACAAATGGCATCAATATTCTTTCCAATGTTTGTGATACAAATGTTCATGCTTTGCAAGATTCAAATTAATTTGATGCAATAACTCCTCCCAACATTGGGAGGGGGATCACTCCGAGTATACAAATTGAGTATTATCTTTAGAATTCAAGCAAATATATTTACAGATAACTGGTGTTCAATGTGGTTGCTATCCTTAATACTCTGGAGCTAAAATATTTTCTGACTTCGCCAATGCTAATACAGTACATGCTGCAATTCTTTCCGCATGTATTTTCAAAGTAAAATATATATATATATTATATATATATATATATATAATATTAACATAAAAATAGAGATGATTCGGAAATACCTTGTTTTTAACTCATGGTTAAAGTCATGTTCCAATTCACTTTTGATTGTCTCTTGAGTCTGCAAGCAGTCATTCTGTGAAAATGAACTGCACTCTTGAAGGACACTGTATAAAAGGTAATATTTTGTCAAAGCGAGTTAAATACTGGACTTCAGTTGCCAAATGTGGATTTAATTTATTCAAATGGAGTTGTAGCTGCTTTCTTTTAAGTTCTGTTCTTATGCTATCTTTTCTACAAGCTACTGTATCCTTAAATTAGCAAGTTAACTCTTGCTCGTGTGAACATGCTATCACGACATCAATCATACGAGCTCGCGTTTTAATTCCATTTTGTAGTGTAGCTTACTACTTAGCTGACTCACAGAAAACTGATTAAAAAAAAAACAAAAAACACTACTGACTTAATATGTATTCCAGTTTTTGGAAAGGCCATTCATGCCCTTTCACGAATTGGACATGGGCTGTGGTTGGATCCCACGGTTAAAGGGGTAAGTGGGTCTCGAGAATAGCTGGCTTGTCTTATCTTTTTCTTTCGGTATAAATATTCAACGTATTTTTATTTCTTTATAAACAGCTGGCTTTGAGATCAGTGAATTCATCTCAGTCTGCATATGTCTGCTTCTCCTTCTCACCAATGTTCTTCCACAACTACAGCCTGGCATCAGCGCAGGCCAGTGAATCCATTAAATGCAAGCTACAAATCAAGGTAACGCAACTACATAAGAAAGGGTCGATTGAAAACATTCATATATCCCTACCAAGATTGATAGAATTGCTGTTTTTTGTTTTCAATTTGCTTTAAAGTCTCTGCTACCACTTTTCCGATGCTTGACTTCAATTGAGCGTAATGTGGAGCGATGTCAGATATCATTCAGCCCCCACAAAGACACAGTAATGATACAGTTTGTCTGTCGGCACGGTGGGATATCGTCTCTTTTATGCCATTAGTTCAAGTTTTCACCACGCGGTGGCACTGTCTTCTCACTTAGTTTTGGGTATCTTTTTTCCCTAGGAATCACAAAAACCCACAACATATATTACCAGGAGAGTGGAGCTCTACAGGCTGTGTTTGACTCTCATCTCTGTTCCAATGTGCTAAAGGGTCCTGCTAGGCAAGCACTTCTGTCTGTCTGTGCTCTAAATATCTATCTATCTATCTATCTATCTATCTATCTATCTATCTATCTATCTATCTATCTATCTATCTAGATCAAAGAAGCTGAATTTAACAACAGCACCGATTTGCCGGTCCAATTTAAAATCACTGTCCAGTTTAAGACCTAAGTACGAGACTGTTGGCTTTAGATAAGGAGCCAGGGGGGCCAAGTCTGCAGGATTAGTTTTTTGGATGGTTGTTTGTCTAAGTGTGCCCTGCGATTGGCTGGCAACCAGTTCGGTGTACAGACGCTCCCCAGCATACGAACGAGATACGTTCCGAAGGATCGTTCGTTAGCTGAATTCGTTCGTAAGTTGCTTCAGTGCTATATTTTGTATGGAATGTACGTTTAAGGCTTATATAAGTATGTTTAAGGTTTATATAAGTATAATAAAATGAAGTTTAACTTACTTTTGGAAGATGTACTCGAAGGCTTTTAAGGAGATGATGGAGGGGGAGGAGAAGGAAGAGGAGGATTTTATATCATGGGGCCGAGAGGGTCTTCGTCGCAGCTGGAATGGGCTTCAAGAGTTACTTCCTCCTCCGTAACATCAATGAAGGAAGAAGTTGAGGGTCCAGGAGAAGAAGATGAGGGTTGACGAGTATCTTCCTTGGAGGGTGTAGTAGAAACTGGCCGAAAGAAGCGATCTAACGACGATTGCACAGTTTTCTTCTTTTTCTCATCATAAATGATGCAGTAGCACTGTATGGCATCATTCATTTGATTTGCAAACTTTGTGCAACGTTCAATATTTGGGTCTTGCTGCTCGAAGAGTGCGATGGCTTTATCTATGAGCGAAAACCCCTCGGCCAAGAGTTCCGTCTCGAATTTCTTCATGGGGACAGGCGTTTCCTTCTCCTCCTCCTCCTCTCACAGCGGCTCACGTCGGTATTAGCGGCGGAAAGAAGCACTACAGTACTTGGAAAAAGGCGCGCAATACAAAATCTAACTTACAGCATCTCTGTCCGAGAACATTTTTCGACATACCTGTACCCGCAAAAATGTTCGTATGTACCGTTGTTCGTAATTCGAATGTTCGTAAATCGGGGAGCGTCTGTATACCCCACCTACTGCCCAAAGACAGTTGGGATAGGCTCCACCACGCCTGTGACCATTTAACTCAAAGGGAGTTCCCAGAATTGAACCCTGTGGGGGAATCAGAGCAACCAAAGCTAACACAAAAAGTTCTGTCAGCCAAATAGAATCTAAACCACTCTAGAGCGCTACCAATCGTGTTCCTTACCTGAGCCCCGAACAACCATGATGTCATTTTCAGTCGACCCCTGAGATGGATTAAAACGGGTAGATTTTGCCGCTTAATTCATATTCCACAAATGCAATATGAAGCAGAAAGCTGCATTCAGACTAGTGGAGGTGCATTGAACATTGAAAACTTTTCACTTGACTTCCCCTTTAAAAATCACAATAACAAAGCTTCAGAAACTGGCAAATCATCATCACATTAATTGTGGAAGTCAGCAGCAGCATTAAACAAAACGTCCTGTGCTTGTCATATGTAATCAATTTCTTTTGCTATTCTCTGCAGGCTTCTTGCGAGTATGGTGATGCATTTCCAAAGATCTCAGGAGGAAGTCACCCTCTCCATAACTCCTCTCCGAGTCAGTCTGAGGAATTACCATGATGGAAGAAATGGTGAGCTAATGTTACATGGCGGTCTATCGCTGGCCCTCTTGAGGAAGTCATATTGTAAAATGATCACTCGATGATGACTTCATGTGAGTGATCAGATTGACGCACAGGGTTGACTGCAATTGGCTGCGCTTCTGTCGCAGATCGCATGAAGTTGACGTACACCGAGATGGCCTTACACCCTGACGAGTTTGACTATTTTCTGTCCGGAGAGGACTCGGCCATAACCTTCTGTCTGAAGGAACTGAGGGTAACGCGGCTATTTGTGGACGCCCGTCACATGAGAGTCAAATGTTTGGCTGTGGGTGCGGTATGTGCATGTGATTGGCTCGCTGCATTACAGTATGCTGCCAGGTTTGTCATAGAAGTTACTGTCGCTTAAGTGATACTATTACACATGCCTTCATCCTTTTTCTATGCTGCTCGTCCTCATTTGGCTTGATGCAAGTTGCAGCCTATTACAAATGATTTAGAGCGAGACCACAGGCCATTCAGTCACAGGGCACATACAGTGTAGAGGAGTGGTTGGCAAATTTATTGTGGCAAGTATCACCATCTCTTCACAAAAAATGATTCTATAGTTCCTTGAAATTCTACAAAACAAGTTTGGCATAAACATAAATCACTAAAACATAAATCAGATTACAACAGCAATCCAAACAAATTAGTGGCTTTATCACTTCAAGTTTTCTTGTTTTTTGGACTGCACTTAAGCACTGAACTTATATAGATACTGTAGATATCTACAAATAGACTATACAATGTCTACAAATAATAAAGCTGACTGGAATGAAGCAGACGTTTTTGTTTTGTTTCAAATTGCTACCTTTTGCAATTTGAAATTTCAATTTTGCTACACTGCGAAGTCGATTTGAATTCGATGAAATGTTCAGCCCTTGTACATAGTGAATTATTTGTAACAGAATCCAAATAGCACAAGTGAACTTGACTTTGAAAACACAAAAGTACTTGATTGGCCCTCTGGAAATGTGGCTAAACGGCCACGGCGTTAGTCCAATTAAGCAGACTTGACCTGCATTAACGCCCACAACTTGCGTCCGTCCCGAATGTAATCTTGGAATGTGTCTGACTGCCAGTTTGCTCTTTGTCTGCGTTTCTCTTTTTTTATGTCAGATCTATCGCATGTGCTCTTAAATGACAAGCCATGACATATTGTACCTTTTTGTCTTTTAAGGCTTTTCTCTCTTTTGCGGAAATGCAATGCCTAGCAGTTTCAGTCCAATTTGATGCTGCAGGAAAGTGAGTCTTGACACAACACATGACAAAATAATGCACTCTTTTTGTACTCATTTAAATACACTCTGGCTAAAATAATGTATGTTCTGTTTTTACGTGTATATCTGTGACTCTCAGTACAGCCATTGTTCCGTATTTATAGGCCTGTGTGCTTTTCTGTGGAGGACACGGTCCTGGAGGCCACTTTGGTGCTGGCTACCTTGATTGACAGCGGAGGTCCCGCCCAACCAACAAATACCCCAGACCCAAATTCACCGAGGTATGATGAAAAGAAACTACCATGAAACTCTACGTGCGATATTTGTGACACTCAGAGAGATCTCACCGTTGTTGGTCGAGGTCTGCTGCGATTGCGTATTAGCAGTTTAATACAATCTTCCCACTGGGCTTTACCTGAGCCTCTCTCCTGGCACCCAGTCATGCTACTTGGCTCTCATTGGCTCCTTTTAGATTCTTAAGTCGGTGTAGTGTTACAGCCAGCCTTGCGTCTGTGAAGGAGACAAGTAGAGCACATTGACGGGCCTGTGCTGGAAGGTTGACTGCACGTAATCCCCCACTCGGCTCTCCACCTTAGGCTTGATTTAAACTCCACGCTTAAGGAGCCAATTCTGCTACAATGCAGAGAGCCGATTTTTGTGGATATGTACATTTCAAATGAAACACATCCAGTTAGGTTGTGTTTACTTCCAAGGAGCAGTAAAATGCCCAAATTGCGCACATGTACGTAACCCTACAAGCGTCACGGGACAGTGACAGCGACAAATAATCCATCCATTTTCCGATCCGCTTTATCCTCACAAAGGTCACGGGGGGGTGCTGGAGCCTATCCCAGCCGTCTTCGGGCAGTAGGCAGGGGACACCCTGAACCGGTTGCCAGCCAATTGCAGGGCACACACAGATGAACAACCATCCACGCTCACACTCACACCTAGGGACAATTTAGAGTGTTCAATCAGCCTGCCATGCATGTTTTTGGATTGTGGGAGGAAACCAGAGTACCCGGAGAGAACCCACGCGGGCCCGGGGAGAACATGCAAACTCCACACAGGGAGGCCGGAGCTGGAATGGTACCTCTGCACTATGAGGTCGACGCGCTAACCACTGGACCACCGGGCCGCCAGTGACGAATAATATGCAAATAAATAATACAAATATTTTATCTAGTTACACCTTGCTGTAAACCTGTATTTATACTGTTTAGACTACACAGAGTCTACCTAGCAATCGAAGTCTGATCGAATGGCCATGACCTGGGGTCCCTCAAGGGTCACTCTTAGACCCCTTATGTTAAGCCTGTATATGCTACCCTTGGGTCAAATTTTTCAGAATCCAAATGTTGGCTTTCATAGCTATGCAGACGTTATTTCTCAATGTCCCTAAATGACAACAGTTCAATTAAGGTGTGTCAATAACTAGATGAACCTACATCTCGCTCATCCATCCATTTTCTAATCTGTTTATCCTCACAGGGGTCGTGGGCTTGCTGGAGCCTAAACCAGCTGTGTTCGGGCAGTAGGCGCGGTACACCCTGAACTGGTTACATGTATCGACAAACATTCGCGCTCACAAACTTAGGGAAAATTTAGAGTGTTCCGTTAACCTGCCCTGTATGGGTTTTTTTATGGAATGTGGGAGGAAATCTGGGATTTGTAAATGTCTTAAAGACTTTTGTTTGAAAATGCTTTTAAATGTTGCCCTTTTAACAGCATTCATATGTAAAAATACTTTCTGTAATAAGGTTCACCTCTTGTAAAAATGGTACCAGATCTTTTTTGTCTTTCTTTTCTAATACGCGTTTCCAGTTTGCCGTAATATCACAGAAACCGTCCGTGTTCTCTTCTTGGCCATTTGCACTCATATCGTCATGTTTGCTTATTCTCTCAAGACATGTTCTGAGTTTAATGCACAGTGCCTGTGCATCAGCTGACAAAACTCAACATAACCAGCACACAAATGTTTGAAAATGTGAACAAAGACAATTTCATTGAATGCCCTGATTTGATGATATTCTTTACAAAAACATTCCTGTCGTTCAACAAGAAACATGTTTGAGTTGACAGGCGTACAGATGCTGCAGCCAGAGATCAACGCCTCAGTCATTGTGCTGGCATGAAAATGGTTGCATCCAGCCAGGGCAGCCCCACCATTCCGTCAACCCCTTTGCTGGAGCTTCATAACCGCAAGCTTCTTCGACTTGGCAACCCCTGTGCGACTGCGAGTCCCGCTTCCTCCGCGGTAAGTGTTCCCAATAGCACATGAGGGAAACTGCAGCACATCTCATCACCCACATGAAAATCCAATGTGAAACAGTAAACTGAGTCACATCCGGTTTTGGCTCACATTGTGATTGAGGGTCACAATTCAGTACACTTGTGGTAGACGGACTATTATGGTGTGAATGACCCAACTCTTGAGCACCTTGAAATTACTGCTGAATAAATTAATTCTGTTAACAGCAAAGTTAGATTCTAATGCAATCGTTGAGATGTGAGAGTCATATTGGCTGTGGAATTCCATGTGTGGTTTTTTTCTGTCTGCTATGCTGTGCTGCACTGTGCTGACTTGACAGGTGTGACAGTGCAAAGTCCCTTTGACATGTTGAATTGCATCGGTTGCATTAACAAACGTTTTGCTTCCTAAGATCTGCTCCCTCCTGTTCCGGGGATTGTCATCAGAGCAGGAAGACGAGTGTGTGACTGTTTTGGCTTGTGACAGTGACATGGAGGAGGACAAATACTCGGCAAGAAGCCCCGAGTACTAAAAAAAAAGGGGGAAAAAGTGTTCCCTAAATGTATTTATTGTAAGTTAATTCCTTTGTCTAGTTGTTCACAGTCCTAATATTTATTGATCTCAAACCACCTTGTTCACTCAGATTCTTTCAAGGATGTAGTTATTAAATTTGCTTGGGTTATTTATTGCTTATGAAATTCAAAGCATTGAACAGTAAAAGATAAATGTTGAGATTAAGAGTGTATGTTTTTGTGTGTCTGCAACTGAAACACATCACAGTCATGCCTCAATATCAATAAATACCATTATTTTTATTTCAATATTGTACAGCAGATCTGCATTGACGTGTACACCCAAAATATACAGACATGCGCTCGTTTGTCTAGAGGACGATGAAAAGTTCTTCTGGGCGGGAAGCAACAATTGCTCCATTGTCCGGCGTAGCCGTACCACCCGACGGGAAAAATTGCTTGGTCACATTAAGGCTACTTAAAATTGTCCTCCAGACACGTTGCAATGCTTTTCAACATGGCATTCACTGCTTTGCTTTATTCTGCCTCCCTTTTGTCTTCCAATTTCCTTTAGTGCAATCTTGTAATCTTACCCAGATGGCTTGATCACTCTTCCTCATAGCTTGTGACCGACTTGAGCAAAGTTAATTTTCAGAAAGTACATATCGTATTGGTAAAACTTCATTTATTTAAGACAAGTGGGGCAAGACGAGGACATTTTAATCTCATGGCTACTTGCAGTTTTGACGCTTCGTGCTCACAAACTGGCACAGAAAGAATATTTTCGAGGAATTATGTGTGCCAGTATCAACAGCTGATACAAGGCACGTCATTATCACACAACACAGAAAGAATTGACTAAAAAGGTGCAGCAAATTCATTATCTAAAATATGTAACGCATGTAAAAAGAAACATCTTATGGTGCCCTGGGAACAAATAGAAAATGCCGACTGTGATGTTTTAAGTCAACTATCTGGTTAAATAAAGTTAAAAAAATAATAATACACTTGCTTTTTCCCATGAGTCTTCAGCGTTGTGCGTTTAAAGCCTCCACACCATTAGTGACCAGTGCGGGGCCTTCAGCGTTCACATCCTCTTCATACAATTTGCCACAATTTCTCCGCATACCCACAAACGAACACCACAATCACAGCAGCAGTGGGATTAAAGGGAGACCACGTTTGATGGAATAGAAAGTGATTATGTCAGAGCCTCGCTGTATTAAATATTACGTATCTATGAAAGGCAGCTGCAGTTCACAAAATCAAATGTTTCAACCTGCCCCAGGAAGGAAGGTTGTTTTTTTTTTGCAAAGATACAAGGACGACAAACTATAAAACATCTGCTCTCTGCATCCATGTATAAAATTTGCTAAGAATCACGCATCCATTTAACCAGCCTGAAGGATGCCGCACCATGTGCAAGCACCTTTCTCAACAGAAAGAATGAAGCGTAAACTTCCCTTCTGGCAGCCCAGAACGGGGCCGCTCGAACATTTTCAAAAGTCCAACCCCCCCCCCGGTCTGCCTAAACACTCAAAAACGTTTCATCATGTGACTTCTATCGCTCGCACAAAAATTACAGAGGGAGCATTGCAGTTTGCAAAGTTGTTTTTTTAGGGCCTGCTGCTGTTTTTACATCCACCTGGTCAGCTAAGGTTTGGGGTAAAGAACAGCTGCGGCATGTTGGGAGGGAAAAAAAACAAAACATCTGACATCCTGAATCCTTCATCCTGTCCAGCAGGAGACAAAGCAGTCCATCCAGTCACAGTCTAGTGTTGAACCTAGTCAGTGTATTCTGCCACTATGGACAACAGCACTGTTATGTCATCTGGCTTCCCTCCTGGATACACACAGCAAAAATAATTGACATTAGATGCGGAACCATGAAATATCTATTTATTTATAGCTTTTTTTTTTTTTTTTTTTTTTTAACAACACATGAATCTAAATGACCAAATCAATTTCCGTGTTCAATTGTGGGTCAATCCATAGGTCTGCGATTACAAGTGCCACCATTTTTAGGGTGTCTCATTTTGGACACACTCACCTCGAACGTTGAGTCCGTTGTCACAGGCAAACTGTGCAAAAGGTGACATGTAATTGGGGTCGTAGGCCAGGTCGTGGGCCTGCTCCGCAATACTGCGGGCAGTCTGCTGAATGCTCTCATAGTTGGCGCTCTGAGCACAAAGGAAAACAAGAAATGGAAGCGCGGCCTCTGTGGCCTATCGCGGCACTGCGCGTTCAGCCTGCTCACCTTGAGTTTCTTCAGCTCCTGCAGGATCATGTAGTCAGGCATGTTGTCAAACAGGCCATCGGTGGCAGTGAGGATGATGTCACCCAGCTGGACGTCAAAGGAAGAGCTGTCGGCTGCGTCCGGGCTGCGGATGTGCACGCACGGCTGAGTCAGGCAGGCAAAACTGCGTGCATTGCTAATTGATCTTTTATTTTCAGCGTACATTGATAACTTTTTCTTTTTTTTTTTTACCACACCATCATCACAGTTGTGAGCACTTTTCCCCTGAGCTGCCAAACAAAAATTTTTATATAATGTACTTGACTAGGAACTGTGCATGTTCACACGACAGGAACTCTTCCCAAAAATAGTCTGCCAGCGTTAAAGCCCCCAAAGGAGGTAGCAACAAGAGGCCCCAATGCAAATCACACGCTTGAGTCTTACAAAGCCCTTTGTCTTAACAAACTCACTGGACCGCTAACTCCTGTCATTATATTTTACTATTACTGGAAGGTTTTTTGGGGGGTATGCAGGGTCAATACCACATTGCAACATCTTTAATGATTAAAAGAGTTAATCCTTTGTAAGACGTCAAAACAAAATAACTTGTGGCACTTTTATCTCCAACCAATCAGCACGATTCTCGACTGGACTGGTTGTGGGGACTTGGCCTGTCAGACTTTGACCCGGCGAGAGGGAAAGCATGGCGAGCGTCCAAAGCCCGTTCTGGCATATACAGTAGAGCGCTGCCGCTGCTGCTTTGGCACGCCGAGCCAATGGGACACGGCAGCACGTGGACCCCGATCGTCTGTTCCGGCACACTCACCACAAGAGTACATTGACAAAACATTGCGTGAGGAACAAACCTGTTTTGCTAAGAGCTGGTCACGGAGCAACCACGGAGGAATTTGTGTTTCTTTGTTTATGTCTGAACCCCTGTGCACATTTCAGCGGGCAAATCTGCTTAAACTCAGCATGGGTCAATTCAGATTTATAAAGTAGACGCAAAGATATTTGTGGGTGGCAGCATGCAAGCAACTACCGATGACCTGAAGAGATCATTTTAAAATCATAAGTTGGTGATATGAAACTGAAACCATGGCAAAAACTTTGTTTGTGCTGGTGCTGCCAGATACACATCAAAAGGTTTTTTTGGGGGGTTTTTTTGTATTTTTTTCCCTTCAGTTCGTGACATGTTTAATTTGAGTACCTGCTGACTACTAAATAGTTTGGAATTTTACATTGTAATTTTTATTTCATTTTCAGTAGTTTTAATTAGCTTTTAGAGCGGGTTGGTTAAAAAAATGCTTTTTTTTGAAAGGAGTAATTGTCAGGTGTATGATAAAGAAAAGGGCTGAATTGGTTCGCATGTCCAGCTCACAGTGCAGCGGTCCAAGTTTCGGATCCAGTCTCCAGCCTTCCTGTGTGGAGTTTTGCACGTTCTCACGGTTCATCTGAGATGCGATTTCAAGCTTATGCGATTTATTTATAAAATCGTACACGGCTTAGCACCTTTCTATGTCGTTGACTTAGTCACACCGTGTGTTCCACCCCGAACTCTCCGTTCACAACACGCTGGTCTTTGAGGGATTCAGAGAGCCAAAAAAAAGTCGGCGGGTTCCAGTGCTCTGCAATGCCCTCCCCCCCGCAATTTAGAGCAGCTACCTCAGCTGAAATGCTTAAAAGCTAACTTAAGACTCATTTGTATACTCTTGCATTTTGTTCAACTCTGTTGCCTGTTTGCACTGCTGTTTCCTCTGTTCGTACTTGCCCCTCCTCCTCCCTGATCTGGAGAGGGGGCCAGGCGATGATGACCCAAATGGACGTCGCCATATGGATTTTGCTCCGATGGTTATGATTTGCACCGAGTGAGCTGGACAAGAGCTCAGTCGGTGGCAGGGATCAGGTTTACTGTTGTTGCGATGTCACGGTGAGTTGTCCCGAGTGCACCTCTTTGCGCGTACCTGTCACTGAGGACGGCCCCCTCGGCCTCGGGAGGAGCGATGGACAGTTGGAAGGGCGTGTTGAAGTAATGTTGTTGCTCATCGGAGCGGTGGACGACCTCCCCCCCGCGAACCACCAGGAAGCCCGAGTCCCCCAAGTTGGCCGTGTGCAGCCGGTGACTCTGGCGGTCCAACACCACGATGCAGGCTGTGCTACTGCCTGCAGAAACAGACACAGACAGACATGCACGCACCAAGAAAACACTGTTACAAAGCAAATATTACAAGAACCGACATGATCTATCTGTGTTTCTTCGCTAAGTGAGCATTTCTCATCTCCAACTTATCTGAAGAGGATGAATCCAATGCTTTCTTTATGAGGCAACATTATGATGGTTGATTCTTGTACTTGTAAATCCTATGCAACTAGACCAATTTTTTTTCTGATTATTAGCTTAGGCAGTAGAACCTGAAGCCATGAACTTTTATGAACTCATATGATACCGGCCGGGTTGGAACTTCTGCTTACAGTTGGAACAAAGTTCCACCCTAGGCAACCAAGGAGGGATACAAGTGCAATGTTCCCTCTAACTGTCCATGCGTCTGATCATTCACACAAACTCCCTGAGCATTCCTTGGACCACGGTCAGCAACATCAGACTCAGGATAGGTGAGATGGCGAGTGGTCACAACCAATTCAATTGACGTGATGTCATCATGTCATTTCATCTGTAATTCAGCGATGGCACTGGCAAAGCATGCTAATATGGAGTGCCCGGAAGAAGTATTTTAAAACGGTGCAAGTGAGTTAGGAAAGCGATGTTCACGCATTTAACACTCTGCAAAAGTGCGTCCCAGGTCTCCCACTAAGGTAGGCGGTGATTTCCTTTTCACGAACTCTTGTATCTACTTGATTTTTCTGTTTTGTTCGTGTCAGGGAGCGTCATGGCTGTTGCTCATCATGGCGCGCGCGCGCCTGCGTACGCGTGCGGTCACAGTCGATCACGGAAGGTTGGTTGGCTTGAAAAGTAGAACTTCTATCAAAAAAGGATGGTCACCCCTGCACTACACAGTAAAAAGCCATGGCAGTAGCCAACATAATTAACAGAGACCAAACCCTCTCTGAAGCTTAAAATAGCACGATAAAGGTCCTTTAAACATTGTGATGGAAACACATTATGAGTCCCTGTCCTGCTTCTTCGCTGGAATGATTTTACAAACACTAATCAGCATCGTGTGAGAATGCGCAATTTCACCATTCTGGAAGTTCAACGAAACACGAGTCTGCGGTTGAGACAAGGCGACAGCCAGCCACACCCTTCTGGTGACTCATTTACGAACACATCGAAATGTGTTCTCTGGGACCAACCTTCAAAAAGCCTCGCTTATGACTCACCCCCCGTCTGCATTACATTCCCTGCCCAACCACGATACAAGGCACGCGACGGCTCAAAAGAACATCGAATTAGCTGCGATGGAAGGGCACAATACTGCACATGTGATCACGAGGCGGAAAAGTACTGCTTCTCAGCATCTCATATTACATGTTTTAGCACAGATCTTTGTCAGGAAGCAAAGCGGGAAGCGACTGTGGAACAGAACACGGACGGGCAGGTCATTTCACGCTCTGGTGATTTAAAACCTAAACAAAACAAAACAGTAACAATCACCATCCAACCCACTGTCTAGACATATGATATGCTTGAAAGCAGAGAACATGTCGTCAATCAAAATGCACAAAGAATTTGATGCAATCTTAAGGGGTGGGTGGGTGCTGTAACCCGAGAGGAAGACACACCGAACAAGCGAGACTCAAGGTCAGACGAGGCCGCAACGGCGGAGGATGATTGTCGTCACGACGCAAAAAAGATTTAATGGAAACGAAGTATGATTAGAGATGCTACCACGTGGCCTTTTTCTTTTTGCACTGTGATATTCTTTTTACTCAAACTAAAAACAAACAATTTGCTTTGAAGATCAATAATATCATTAAAAAAATGAATTTTAAATAAACCATAAAACTGCCTTTGTTTCAAATATTACTTGGAACATTTACCACAAAAGAAAAAAAAAGAAACTCCCTTGAATATATTTAAACACTCTACTCTGCCTTTCGGACAAGTTTTGGTTCTTTTGATCATTCGTTTGACTCCTATTTTGAAAACCCTGCTTTTATTGTGACGCAAGCAATGTAAAGCAGGAAGTGTTGGGTGTATGCATGATATATACACCTTCCCCCTGGATGGTGACCTCACACAGAAGGGAACAAACTATATGTATAGTCCAGCAGAGGATGTCATGGAGAGAAAGTATATGACTGTGCTCAACTGAATAATGTGATTATTATTGAAAGCAGCGGACGATTGCTGAAGAGGATGCTGCGTTTGTGCAATGCCACTCACCGAGCAGCGGCACTTTGTTCTGCAGCAGTTCATAATAGCTGGTGGTGAGGACTCCGACGGGGTGGCTGGGAACAAAACGTCCCTCCTTCACCAGGCGCTCGCACGTCTTCATCAGAGTGCTGGAAAATTGCGACGGGTCCACGCCATAGTCTCGCCAGCCTCCTACTCCATCTGCCACACCTACAGTCACACACACGCGCACACACAGAGGGGCAAACCATCATGATGGCATCATGCAAAATTGCATCTCGCAAGACTTGAGAAAATCCGGTGTGACTTGACCTTGTTGAGCATCTAATTTACTGTTGGGCTTTGTCAATTTAATTTTTGTGATGGAAAAGAGAAACAAAGTGATGAGACTACAAAGAATAAAAGCAAACTTCCTTTGTATGTTGGTAACCTCATCAACCAGCAGTTCAATTTTCTGTTACGCTTGTATGACAAATGTGTTCCGTTTTTCGGTAAAGCTGCAGCTGTTGTGAAAGCGCTACGTAAATACATATGTATTGTACTGTATGTAATGTAAATAATTCAACAATTCAGTTTCTATTATTCATAATTAACCCCCCCCCTTAAAAAACCTGCATTCTGCAGTAGACTATGTTGTAGAATCCGCTGTGTTATGTTAAGACTAACAGATTTTCCTAGAAGGAAGAAGCAGCCTTGTTACTCCCAAAATTGACCTCCCTGACCATACATGGAGGGCGCCGGAGTCTGCACAGCCTTTGCCAGAAATAGACAGTGGCCTGCTTTACAACAAACTTCCCAAAAAAATCTTCCTGTGAGGCTCTCCTGATTCTCAACTTCCCGTGTTGGGTGAACAAGTGATTGTTTAAGCAACAAGACAGATTTGCAGGCTGGAGACGACTTGCAGATTAAACCCAAGGTTCACGACGGTGGTTATCCATTTACATCTGTCAGGTTGTAGACACGCTCAGTGTCAAGGCGGGATAATCCTTTGACCAAGCACACTGCTCTTTTTTTTTTTTTTTTTTTTTTTAAATACAAACCATGTGCAGGTTCAAGTTCAACTCTCCAATTGTATGACTGCATCTGCGTTTATGGCGCAAGTAGGTCCCATGCAGGCTGCTTCTACACAGTAACGTCTGCACTCGTTTCTCATTGTTTTCCAGAAGGACTGCAACTACAACCGTCACTGTGCGATGTTAGATGACCTTCAACAGCAAAGTCATTCATCTCAACAACTGCGAAAGCCAGGGTGCAGGCTTGACATGTACAACTATGCTCTTTAACATAAACCTGAATTTTTGTTCCAACGGATGTGTGTTCATCTGAGGAGTTCCCATTTAAGTTTGGTGAGAGTCCACACACTAAGGTGTGATAAATGGCAGGAAAGTGAACAAATCATACCTGCCAGAGTTGAAAAGCTTTCACCTAGGACTGATGACGGGTAACTCATTCAGTACCAGCCAATTCTGGACCAAGTCTGAAAAGACGTTTAAAAACGTCTTTGGGCGTGAATGAGTTAATAATGCGGCGGTTGCCGTGGCCAATTGTTCTCGCGGCCCTCCCCTGGCTGCTCAACCCCTCTATCCGGTTTACTGTCTCCATCAATTTCCCGTCCCTCAACCCCGTTTTTCCACCTCAACCCAACTGGCAGAGGAAGTCAGCCGCCACACAGAACTTGGGTTCTGATGGAACTTTCTTCCTGAGAGGGACTTTTTTTTCTCATGCCTGAATCATCATGTAATCGCTCACGTGGGATTCAGCTAGATTTCTTATGAATTGTACATAAAGTACAGTATTTGTATAATCCATGGGAAGAGTAGTTGACTTGTTCAATGTTGAAAGCGCCTTGTGATAACTACTGTTGCGGATTAGTGCTGTATAACATTGAAGGTCAACAGTGAAGTGATTTTAGAAAACCGCAAACAGAAAATTTTTGTGTCACAAGTAATTAAACAAAATACATGAAAAAATAATTTCTTTCAGAAATTCGACAAAGTAATCGTTTTCCCAAAGTGAGATCCTGACGAGCGACAAACCTGAAAGTGTGACGTCACATCAAGACAACAATAGCGGGGCTCACTGTGGAAAGTGTACAAATCCATTCGGAAAGCGACGTTTCAAACTTATCTGAGGGGATCCAGGTGTTTGAAGAGTTGGAGGAAGAGGAGTTTGTGGGCAAGATGTATGTCGGACCATACATGTACAAGCCAAATGGCTCAGGATGCAGAAAATTTTGTGCCTGAATGGCCGGACATGGAGTGGGGATGAGACCCATCGGGATTGAAAGAACGGTAAACTATACAGGCTGCGGTTATTAGCCTCGCATTATTGTTTGCAATTCGATGCTGTATCATGCTGTAAACCGTGCACAATGCAATTACCTACTTGGTCCATGTATTCCCGCTGGCACTGAGAGCAAAAGTCGGAGTGGGTTGGTGTCCTACATTGTCATTGCTAAGGTAGTTCTGCTGTGTTGTCGGCCACTCTGCACATGATATCGACAACATTGTTGGCTGTAATCCATTAGAGAGGATTCCAGCCATGTACTCATATTGTTTGAATGTTTTCGTACAGGATGACATCCATGTACACGTATAATACTTTGAATTCAATTATTTAGGAAGCAATACAAATTTATGTAAATAGCACATCTCATACACAAGGCAACTCAATGTGCTTCACGCAAACAAAGGCACAAAGCCTATAAGCATCTGCAAATGCAGCAGCTGAAGACATGCAACGCTAAAAGAAAGAGAGCAAAGGTTTCTCATGTAAATTACGACACTGAAAACATAAATTCAGACAAAGACCCAAAAAAGGACATTTACACAGACCCAAAAATAAGATATTTATAAGCAAAGGAAAGAAGTAAAAGGTAGCTTTCTTGAAATTAATAAAAGGCCATATCGTGAAATTGTAATGTGGCAGAAAAAAGCATGGCCTTGAACGTGGATTTCAAAGCATTTCCACTTTGGGCTGACCTCACTTCTGTTGACACCTCATTCTGAGTGCAGCAGAGAAGCTAAATGCGGCTTCACAGTGTATGCTTTGAAAACTGGGCTCCACTAATTGAAGAATGTTATCTTGATCCATCTGTCCACATCATTAGTTGGTGGCTTTTTTAATGTAAAGCCTGTGCCTTGGCTCAATGGAGTTTGGGAAACACTGGTACAAATGGCAATTTCAATTTCAAATGGACCAGTTTCAGATCGTTGACTAGACTGGTCTGGCATGATTTCGCAGGTGACAAATGCTTCTTGAGTGACTGCTCTTGCTTTTCACGTGGATTTTGACAAAACAACATTCGTTATACAGTACTACATTGCTGTTAAGCATTCGTACCGTAGCAAGGCACTACAAGAAATAAAGAAACACAATGCAGTCTGTGACTCACCCAAAACATCGGCAGATTTGTGTCGGGCGATGAAGCACGCGTCGTCCCCATAACACATTCCTTTCTTGAGGATGCCTTTACGGAAATCTTTGCCAAAGCCGCAGCTTGCCGTCACCAGGCTGTAGTCGCGGCCGTCCGTCTGCGAGAGTCCGCCGATGACAGCTCTGGCAACCAGTCTCCCGTACGACAGCACGGACAACATCCCCCACGAAACAGATGCCACCTCCGGAGGCGGCCAAGCTAGCGGTCGCGCTAGCTTAGCTCCGACGTGAGCTCACTAATGGTGACTCGTAAGACGCAGGTTACTGGAGATGAGGAGCTCGGTGTTACGGCGCTCTCTTCCCGTCCCGAGACTATAAGGCGAAGGGTATCACAGGAACGCGCTGTCCTTTCCGTCCGGCAAGTGCTGCCCGTCGTTGCCCACGGCGGCCATGCTTCCTCGAGTGCCTCCTTGCTAGCTTTGAAGACGTTACACAGTGAGAGCAGCTACTTTGTGTCCTCGCTCACACAGCTCAGCTCGCGCGGTCTTGTGACTTATTGACGTCATCACACTTACGTAACATTCCATACCATATAAGGAGTCATTACTACGGCAGTACATTTTGAGCTTATGCTGCAGTCGGGGAAGCTGGAAATTCCGTTTTCCGACTTTCGACGAGGAGAAGTGCCCGAACATAGTGACCAACCCTTTGAACTAGGAGGTCCAACTTGCGACCTTCACCGACCGACTTCAACGTGACGTCACGTGACCCCATGGAGACCCAGAGCGTGAATGGCAAAACATTTACAAGATTCGAAAAATATATTTAGCTTTATTTAACATTACATTAATTTGTTTTTTGCATTTCGAAATAACTTCACTTAACACAACGTGCTTTATACTGACAGCCATGCCGTCATCACCCTGCATGAAGTTAGTTGGTGAGATGAATGAAATGCTTTGAATGCCGTACTTGTTTCATGTAACTATTAATTTATTCCCAACAGTCTATTCTCTTCCTTCCATGGTTTGTATTGATTGCACTGCTTCAGTAATTTACTGTGGAAGTATTGTTACTTCCCTTCACTTCCTGCCAAAATGTCTATTATCTGTTTATATGTTCACCAGTGGGCGAGTGGTTAGCGCGTCGACTTCACAGTGCAGAGGTACGGGTTTGATTGCAGCTCCGGCCTTCGTGGGTTTTCTCCGGGTACTCTGGTTTCCTCCCACATTCCAAAAACATGCATGGCAGGCTGATTGAACACTCAAAATTGTCCCTAGGTGTGAGCGCAGATGGTTGTTCGTCTCTGTGTGCCCTGCGATAGGCTGGCAACCGGTTCAGGGCGTCCCTCGCCTACTGCCTGAAGACAGCTGGAATAGGCTCCAGCACGCCCCGCGAACCTCGTGAGGATAAAACCGATCGGAAAATGGATGGATGGATGAATGGATGTTCAATATTGCTATGTCAATCTAATCTGACCAGGGCCTTCAGAATTAATAATGCTGACGATAAAACCTGAACTATACATTAGTCGCAATGGGACTGTTCTTTAATAATAATAAAAATACATTACACTAATGAGATTTGAAATTCCTCCTTGATAATGTCACATTTTTCATCCTTTAACTGGTTGGAAAGAGCAAGCCTAATTAAATTAGCAAAACATATCTGTAGCAATCTGCACATATTTAATAATCAGCAGCTCTGTTGAGTATGAGGTTTTAAGATTTTTGTTTGATAAATATTGATTTTGAACTGCTCCAGATGACATATGTGGCACTTGTGTATATTTGTAGTGTGATAGTGCTGGTAAGAACATTAGAAAGGAGATACATTAAAAAAAATGATATTCATCTCTATATCCTCTTAAATACACTCAAAGTTTATTAGAAAGATTTAGACATGAAAAGAGCGCTTGTTTAGTCAAATATGAAGAGGTGATACAATGAGTCAATGTTCTATGACACTGACTGTAAATAGATTTTGAATTTTACAGTAAAGTGGTGTTTGTGACTGTATATTCTTTGTGGTCATTAATATTGATTACTGGAAAAGAATGGGGGGGGGCATGATGTGATAAAACTGCTAAAATTGTGCACAGCTATAAACAAGGCATTCCTGTGCATAAAGTAGCATTATTGTTACGATTTTTATGATTGAACAGTCATATGTGGCAAAAAGTAGCTGCAAAATGGGAGTGCAAAACACCTGAGGTTTTTCATGGTGACATATCAATTTCCGCCTGTGGACAAAACAACATCTTTTGCTTTCAAAGGGTGGGAGTGTACATCTTTACAGTACTGGCAACATGAAGGTTAACCAATCCCTCAAATGCAAAGGACAAAAGAAGAACAGTAGTGACCACCTTACATCCAGCCCACACTTTATTTCTTTGCTTGCTTGGTGACCATGTTGCGAGGAGGAGTGACCGGACGGCTGCCGTTGGGCTTCTTCTTCTCGGCCGGTTTCAAAATCTATTCGTTGAACATAGAAAGAAGTATGAGGGCGAATACGTCATTATTAACAGATTATCATTTGCATCATTAATAAGGAATAATCATCTGATTTAAATGAAAACAGAGGGCTTTAAGCCAATAAAATACTTCGCTACCATGTTTTATTTTGAATACCTTAAGTGGTTAATTGACGAATGAGTTTAATTCATTCTGAGACCAAGCTCATCACCCACTTTATGATGATACCGGTATATCAAATCAGTATTCTAAGAAGATATAAATTTAGATCTCCATTCATCCATTTATGACAAATGAAGTGAATCAACCACATGAAACCCCGTGACTAAAAAAACTGTTGGGGCACTTGGAAACCAAGGTGTCACTCCACATATTTTTACAGCAAATACAGCTTAACAAAAATAGGTTTGTATGATATGGCTAAAATTTAATGTCAATATTTTTGCCAGATAACGATAAGATCGCAATACTACTATGGGTTCCGTGAAAATTAAGCATTTTTTGAGCCACCAACATTAGCAAAGTTAGCAATAAATTAAAACAAATGTAAATTCACATTAAAACTGCAACTGTGCTTTGATGATAAATAACAATTTTATGCTACAATCGATATGTTAACTGCATCAACGCATGTGTTGTTTTGTACCAATTTGTGCAAGCATGACCATAGTAAGGACAATGAGTTTAGAATGTGGATGGATGTGTTGCATGGTTGGGGGGAGAAAAAAAAAAGTTAAAACACTCACCCCCGTACAAGACATTGGTTGTGTATTCATTGATGCATTACATGGCGATGGGACAACTCCTACCGATATGAACTATGCCTGGATTGCCTTCTGAGTGTCCCCTTACGATATGTTACATTGTATGACTGTTTATGAATTCACAAAAAATTGTGGTAGTCAACAAAGACAATCAAAATAGGACGCAGCTCGCACTTCGCTTCAATTGAATGGACTGGCAAGGCACGGTCTGCTCGTACATTTTGAAAAAAACATTTTATCCGCTGGTAATTTTGAAATTATCACCATGGTCACATACTGTTCTAAAATACAATAGATGTGTGCCGTCCGTATATACCAGGGGTCTCCAACTCCGGGCCTGGAGGGCTATTGTCCTGCCTGTTTTCCAGCTCCCCCAGGAGCAACACACCTGATTCAAATAATCAGGATCATTCTAATGCTGCTTCAGAGCTGGCCGATGAGCTGATCGTCTAAATCAGGTGTGTTGCAGCTGGGAGAGCCGGAAAATAGGCAGGACAGTAGCCCTCCAGGCCCGGAGTTGGAGACCCCTGGTATATACAGTACTTGACAATAAAGACAGAAATGATTTTCTTGTGTGTGCTGCCTAGCCAGCAGCAGTTGCGCGTGTCCCTCGTCTCTCTGCGTGTGTCCTTCCTCCCTCTCGCCCTCCGCATAATGATTGTTATCTCCTGGTTTTAACTGTCGATCAATGCCAAACTTTCGAAGAGGAATGTGGTTAGTTGAACTGCGATTTACACGCAACACAAGCGTGGTGAGGTCACATGACTGATATCATCCTCATTTTGATATTAATATCTTAAATGTTCCGAAGAGGAATGTGGTTAGTTGAACTGCGATTTACAAGCAACACAAGCGTGGTGAGGTCACGACTGATATCATCCTCATTTTGATATTGATATCTTGAATATATCTCGATTTAGATACAATAAAGACATATAGCCGAGCCCTAATCTAAAATTTTACAAATGTATAACACTAAAAAATGCCAAAGCACATTACCTGAAAAGAACACATGAGGGTCTCATCCACACTCATCATGGCGCCAGCATTGTCAAACTCCCCACAGTAATTTGGGGCGGAGAACAGAGTGACAAGCTGTCGTTTGGCAAAAAATTCATAGCCATCCTCAACAACCTGCAACAAATAACAGCTGGAAATTACTAACTATTCAGACTTCTATACACTATACAAAACACTTTCAAATCCATATTACTAAAGGCCTACAGAGACAAGATTAAAACTAATGAAGGGTAACAGTTACAAGGTAAGATACCACAGAATATGTATCCCTAGTAAATGTGTAAACTGTCGCAATCACATTAATATGGTCCTAAAAGTACCTGATGGGCACGACAGATCAGATCCAGGTCATGCTTATGCAGAAACTTAGCAACCACCTCTGAGCCAAAGGTAAATGATACACCTCGGTCATTCTCCCCCCAGCCCAACACATCCTTATCTGGATCAGACCAGAGCAAGTCACAGAGCAGGCCCTGGTCGGGGACGTCAGTGGGGCGCATGATGCGTCTGATCTGCTCCATGGACTGCAGGTCAGGAGAAAGTCCTGTACAAAAAGAGCAGACAAGCACAAATAAACATTGCTATACTGGTGACGTTTGCTGAACGTCAGTTGGCAAACTGCACAGAGCTCAGTCAAGGACAAATGAAAAAGACTGACATTAAGGTAAGGACTTGTTTTGAAACCTAACTGCAGGCAATTGCTATTGTCGTCACAACCGAGGGAGGGGACTAGAAACATTTTGCTCTTTTCCATAGAAAATACACTTTTCTTGTGAACATGTGATGGCAATTTAAAAACTTTCAGACAACTGTTTTAAAGGTAAAGGAGAAGCTAATTCAGCCCTGTGGTTGACTGTCAACTAGTACAGGGCTACCGTTGCACCAAGTACCGGTGCTTGTTTGGAAAAAAAAAAAAAAAAAAAGCACTCCAACTTTGTGTCAGACGGGGCTGGCGTGCAGCATATCAACCATCCAAATTGCACAAATACAAAAACAGACGGCAAAAGTGGCTGAGACGGTTTGGGGCCACCATGTAGCTGTATCCACTTAAATCAATCCATCCATGTAACCCTATCTGTCCGCAAGGTTACTAAATCCTTTCCGTAAGGAACAGCTTAAACACAATAAATAAATATTTGAGTACGGATGTGTACTTTGCCACATTTACAGCCATCTCGGGACGCCACGATTAGTTGACCTCCATCAAGGACCAAATTCTTTGATGTCATCATTATTATTTTTGCACTTTTGTTTCTCCTCTGAAAACGGTGTCTGTGATGCACATGTGCAGTAGTGAGAATACGGGTTAGCTGTGATGTAAACAGAAGCACTATAGCTAATGCAGCGTCATGGCTAACTGGTGTTAGCAATAGTATCCGAAAGTTAAGAGTGCATTTAGACAATACAATACATATTTATTTATATAGCGCTTTCACAACAGCTTCAGCTGTAACAAGGCGCTTTACAGAACAGTTAACATAAAATAACAAAATAATACAATACAACACATAAGACACAGACAGTCGTGCAATCTTAACCACTTTTCCTGCATACACTTTGTTGTTTGAAGCAGTTATAGATGAAAGAGGAGAGAATCAAAGTGTCCTTTCACCAGTGGATCAGAGACATCATGCTGAAAATGTGCACACGTCTGCTACATATTTCACCAAACATACTTGAAAGGCAAAGTCAAAACTTTTCTTTACAATATGTTCTATGCACCACCACTACAGTAGTCGAAAAACGGTGTCTCGGTACCGCCCTTCTGATGATATAAAAATGATGTGAATCTCTTCCTGCTTCGCACTCGTGACACGCAGCTATTGTCTGTAAATCGCGGGTGCCCGGAATATTCTGTTATTAAAAGCTTCTAAGAAACTGTTCATCGGCTCCAGCCTTTATTTGAAGAACCAACATTCTCCTCGTCCGTAATTCAACATGCGGGGGAAGGAAGGCCCAACAGTACTTAAGTACTACATCACATGCAGCAGCAGCACTGGCACAGATAGCCACACAGCATGGTGAAATAAGAAATGTGGGGAAATATTATTGCGGTCAGGTGAGACAGAGTTGTACAACAGAGGCAGCTCTCAACATTGGCTCGGGTTGAGCCGAAAAGCAGCACGCTTGGAGAATGGGAAGCGAAGAAGTTGGCCTATCTGAGAGCTTCTAGCAGTCAAATTACACAACAACCAGATTGATTAGCAAAGTACAAACATTTTTTTCTGTGGGAGGAGAAGCAGGAGCCCCTCCTTCTTATCCACTTGAGGCAACACCTATGTTTGGGAACAAAAGGCACGGAAGATAGGTGCGGTGTTTCGTCCTCTGTCTGAACCGAGCACCTGATGCCCACACTCGCAAAGAGAATGACGTGTTCAGTATTTCAAAAACAAGAGTAGTCAAAGTAGCAGAACATGACATGTTAACCACAACCCTTCATTGGCAATACATAACAATAAAACACATATAAACCAGTTCATTACAATATTCTATATTCTAGTCAGTGTTCCGTCTAAGATGTGCGCGTGAGTCATTGCGCCCTGCGCTCTGACCCTCTCGGCGCATACAGTGACGCTAAGCACACACTATGCACACGACATTTCTATATTCATTCCTTCATTTCCGCACAATTTTAATCTACAAAAAGAGCACCACACCATGCCCACTTCTTACAGTTTCAGTAGTGGAAGGCTGCACACAGTTCGACTGTAATTTGAAGCATACATTGACACACATACATTCACACTCACGCAGACTACACGTAAACCGCTCCATTCAGGAAGTCCAAACACGGGCGTAGTTTACAAGCCCCTTAAATGGGTCTCTTTTGTATGTTTCAAAGATCAGGTGACCAGAAATTTTTTTTTGTTTTGTTTTCTGACCTGTTTTTCATTATTTATGAGTAGGCAATGTGGAACCGCAATGTTACAAATTTCATTCAGAATTAATAGTACTTAAAATCTCCTGTATGCTAAAATGAACGCATGAAAAAAAACTAGGGCTGATTTTATTCATGTCACAAATAAGTCTTCAATGATAGTTCAGTTTTTAACACCCTAAAAAACACTAAATCTATGTGGTGTTTGATTGTGGCGATTGCAAACAAGGAACCCGTCGCTATGATGGCAGATGTTGAAGCCATGTTCCACCAAGTCAAAGTCCAACCAGATGATGCTGACCTGATGCAAATTCTATGGTTGCCAGAGGGGGACACTAACAGCACTATGGCGGAGTACGGGATGGTTGTGGCAATACTGCGCAGAGCGCTTTCTTTAAAGTGTTTTTTATTTTTTTCCATCATCACAACATCCTATTTCGGACATTTTGTTTCGTGACAAAAATCTTTTGAACTGAAATTGAAAATGCATTTGAAGGCAATTTTTGCCCAGACATTTTTCGTGGCTGAATTTTCAGTGTAGAGTATCCCTAAGTATTAGTCATTGTCAAAACAAGAACACTGAAACATACTTTTTTCTTAGTCCAGTACTTGTGGCAACTTTCACCCAACTTTCCTCATCAAAAATGGGTGATTACTTCCCAAGAAATACAAACTATTGCCTGGGACAGTTTTATTTTTATGACTTTCATCTTTTTTTTGTTTTAACCCATGTGTTTTTTAACGACACATCGGACAAAGTCACCATAATGGAACGGTGGCCTTAAAGTGTAATATCAAAGTCATTTCTAAATCCTTTTTTTTCTTGCGACCACTCAAAATGTTCAGTGGCGTCAGACCTATCCATACATATATAGTTTCTATTTACTTATTGAGGTTGGTGCCCTCTATGGACATCAAAGCAATAAAAAGCAGTATTGTGCTATGGGTATAAGTAACTATCATCTGCATATAAGTAAAAAACAAAAACATTGAATTCGGACTATTCAATATGGACAAGTTAGCGCCTTCAACATGTTAATAGATCATGACATAATTTTAGTTTGTACGTCAACAGTCCTGTTACGGGATGTTTTGGTGCACACGGGTTAATTAAACAAGCCTAATCTGCTCTTTCTTTTGGCTCAAACAACAAAAACCCACCTCCGTGACAGCAAAAGATCTTCTCATCCACAATGGCGGCAATCGGGAGGCAGTTAAAACAATCTGTAAAAGTCTTCCAGAGCTTGATGTTGTACCTTCTTTTACCTAGAACATGAAGAAAAACAAGCACTTTCAATGAATAATAAAGTCAAAACAGTAAATCAGAACACAAAATTTGCAGAGCATGTCATTCAACATGTTTACTGACGTATGGAAGATTACTCACACTCATCATAAAAGCCATATATTCTATTGATTGATGCACACTCATGGTTCCCTCTCAACAGGAAGAAGTTCTCGGGGTATTTGATTTTGTAGGCAAGCAGGAGACAGATGGTTTCCAGAGACTGCTTCCCCCTGTCCACATAGTCTCCCAAAAATAGGTAGTTGCTTTCTGGGGGGAAGCCCCCATACTCAAACAGCCTCAGCAAATCATAGTATTGGCCGTGGATGTCACCTGACATAGAAACAGAGAGTGATTAGTATTGGGACTGTGTCAACAGTAATAAACAACGCATGCTTATTTTAGGCATGGATAACACCACATAGCTGTTTTCTCGTGGAAAATATATTTGGACATCTTACCGCAGATCTTGAGAGGTGCCTCAAGCTCTAAAAGAATCGGTTGACTCAGGAAGATTTCCCTGGATTTCAGGCATAGTCCACGAATCTCATTTTCCTGCAGTTGAACATTCTTGCCAGGTTTAGCTCCTCTTACTGTAAACAAAATATGTCCCAAACTTAATATGATGCGCTTGCTGCATGGAACGGGCTCATAATTAGTTCGAAGTGTGTGGTAGTTCATGTTTGAATGTAGCAAATCAACCGCGGGTCGGATTTGCAAGGCTCCTAAAACTGTTTATAAACATACTTAGCCGAATGTGCTCTACCATAGCAGAGCAGGTTAACAGCATTTTGGACAAAACAAATGACTTACCTTCTAGGAGACGTTGAATTATGCTGTCTATGTTGAGTTTGTCGACATCGGCCATCGTGGTGTTGGCTGTGAATATATCAACGAAGTCGAATCTAGGTCTCAGCTGTAATTGCTATCTCTACTAGCATTAGCACCCAACGTTAGCGTCTCGGTCTTTTCCGGTTGAGGACAAACCTTGGGTTAAGCCTGTTTCGATGTAGCCCCTCGTAGACTCTCGAGCAACCTAATACATTACCGAGGTACGTAAGCTTAAGAATATCCTCATCTAAATATTAGATTTTACTTGGTAATGTGGAATTGATGGGAACGGTCATTCGATGACACAAAGATCCCTTCACTGTTTTTTCACTGCCGCACCTTATCGAAACTCGTACACAGCGGTTTTTGGAAGCAGCTGTACTGCTACCACCTACTGGAATGGAGGCCATAAAAACGGAAACGATTATGCAATAATAGACGCCGCTGCTTGTCACATATGGATGACCCACATTTAGAATTACACAAACGGCTGTTAGTGACATACACACAGATCGTAATAGACTATAATAAAAAGATAACACTTTTCACTCCCTGATTTAAGGCTCTATTTTTGTGTAATACTGTATGCATACGACCCTCACGAAGATGAAGCGGTTCAAATGTATGTCTCTTCAGTTGTGACCTTTCAACACTTGACCAATTGTGTTCATTGTGCCAAGTACAGACATGAAATGCAGTTCGCATCTTATCAGAGGTGAATGCCAGTGCAAAGTTAACTGTAGGCTTGTCCTAAACCCAGGCAAAAGTAGAGGGTTGACTCAGGCTCTAACCTTTTGCAAACACTTTTGAGCATTCATCTTCAAGGAAGGCTTCATTAAATTTTCATGTGTGGCTTTATTCGTAGTTATTAGTTCAGCTTGCAAGACATGCGTAAGAGTTGCAAAATACACCTCTGTATTGATATACCGGTAGTTTACTTTTATGGCAATATTTTACGGAATGTAACTTTCTGCTGGACAATAGACAAACAGTGGACAACAAGGAGGACACAAAGCAAAAAAATGCCATAATGAAGGGGTGTCAAACTCATTTTCACCGAGGGCCACATCAGCAAAATGGCTGTCTTCAAAGGGCCAAACGTAATTTATAATTGCAACTTATATAATTGAATTAAATATAAAATAAATGTAACTACTCCTTAATGTTAAATAACACTGAGTCTTTTACTTATTTCAGTGAAAAACATTACAGCTGCATAGAAACAAATGTTTGCCTATTTCTCTGTTAAAACAAATACTTTTAATTTGTCATCTTAAAATAATCCTCATATGAATCCACACATAAAACATGCCAATGGCAAATAATTGCAACGGCAGCTGCAAATAAACAATATGTAATCGAATATAAATAACAAAATAAAGGTTGCCTCAGGTGACAAATAAATGGTCAAGCTCTTAGGTTTTTGAAGAGGAGATGCTGCCCATCCTTAAACACAAGTGGATCCTCTCTCGGCTTTTCTTCTGATCTTTTGATCATGTTCTGAAAATAACAAACACAAAACAAAATCCAAACACAATCATTAAATTTTGTTGCAGCCGCAGTTTGCCTTTTAATTCTTGGACAATTTGTTGCTTTTCTTCAAGGCTAGCTTTAGTGTACTTAGCTCTGTGTTTGGTGTCAAAATGCCGACACAGATTATACTCTTTGACTACTGAGACCGTTTCTGAACATAAAATACATACCGGTCTTTCTCCTTGAAACGCAAATAAGTATTCTCCTTCCTATCTTTCGTTAAAAATGTCTTCCGTCTGCATCAATTCTCTTCCTTGAAATTTTGGGATTATTATTTTCTCCTGTGGGAGGCCCGGTGGTCCAGTGGTTACCGCGTCGACCTCACAGTGCAGAGGTACCGGGTTATAATAAAGGATATCTTATCTTATCTTATCTTATCTTAAATTCCAGCTCCGGCCTCCCTGTGTGGAGTTTGCATGTTCTCCCCGGGCCTGCGTGGGTTTTCTCCGGGTACTCAGATTTCCTCCCACATTCTAAAAACATGCATGGCAGGCTGATTGAACACTCTAACTTGTCCCTAGGTGTGAAGGTGAGCGTGGATGGTTGTTCATCTGTCTGTGCCCTGCGATTGGCTGGCAACCAGTTCAGGGTGTCCCCCGCCTACTGCCCGAAGACGGCTGGGATAGGCTCCAGCACCCCCCGCGAGCTTTATGAGGATAAGCAGATCGGAAAATGAATGGATGGATAGATAATTTCTGCCGATTCCACCCATCAGCATTGGTGTGGAAACACCGCCACGTAAAGTCGGTGAGCCGTCACTTCACAAGTAACATAGTCGACAGGCATTGTGGGAAATGTAGTTTTTGGTCAAAGCATGCTTTTAGACTACAGTATTTTTGGACATTCAGGTCTTTCAAGCTCTCGCAGGCTACATAAAAGGACGAGGCGGGCCACGTCTGGCCTGCGGGCTTTGCATTTAACACAAGTGCTTTAGTCTTTCACTGAAGGCTCGAAAGAATGAAAAGGTCTCCATTTGTTAGTCTTTATTTAATCACTTGAGATTCTACTGTAACTACATCAGTGGTGATGGGCAACACTATTGGGCTGTCGTTGAACAGTGTTTTCTTATTGTGGAAAAAAAGTTAGTTATAGTCAGAAAATGTTTCTTCCAGTGAGTGGTCACTACCATGCAAACCTAAAACAACAAAATGAGTGTTCAGCATCTCTGCCTCACACTGTGGAGCTTTGAGGTTTGAATCTCACTCCGGGCCCTCTTGCGTGCAACTTGCATGTTCTCCCATGAGGATAAGCAGTATGAAAAACTAATGGATGGATAACATATTTCCCCATATTTATATGTCTTCTCAGACTCTACACATTTAATCCCAGGTACTTATATTTTTTTCATTTTTTTCCCAAGATTTTAGGGTTTAAAAAAAAAAAAAAGAGTCTGAAAATGGCCGGTACTGAATTAGTGAATAAGTACTGTGTAATATTCTTAAGTAAGATACTTAAGTTTTGTATCGACACATGCTGACACCAGTCTACTTTTAGAGAACAATCTTGGAGAACTCTCACTTTAACACTGAAACGTATGCCAGTTTCGTGTATGGAGACATTTGCGAATGAATCAATTTACCTCTAGTGTCCACTAGATAGCGCCAGCTAACAGTATTCAACACCACCTGAAAAAGGGCGATTTTAAAAACTACAAGCCTACATCATTTCTTTATTAGAGATTGAATAAATGTGTTTAAATGTTTTTTTAAATTTTTATAATCTGATGCATTAAATAATTTTCATGTAAAAGTATAGGTAGACGTATAAATAAATCTGTTGGAGGTCGCGAATGATATTTTTTCCTCAGCATATCTTGAAGTACTTACTGTATAGTGGGGGACATAAAGTTTATTCTTCTTAAAATCATATGCTTGAATGAATTAAAAAAAAACAGAATTAGTTGATGACAATTACTTCTCCATAATGACAGACATGGAAAAACATCTGTGAGTATCGATTGGACGTTCATGTCACTGAGCATCATATTTTTTTAATGTACCGGTACTGCACAAAAAAATAATTTCCACGCAAGTAAAACCAGGCAGTTATCTACGATTAAAACCACACAATGGGTCCCAGCACCTGCGATTGGGTGGCAACCGGTTCAGGGTGTCCCCCGCCGACTGCCCGAAGACAGCTGGGATAGGCTCCAGCACCCACTGCGACCCTTGTGAGGATAAATCGTATCGGAAAATGGATGAATGGATGGATGGCTCCCAGCAGACAACAGAAAACTTGGAAATTTTTGCAGATTATAGTGGAGCAATACAAGAACAAATGCGTGCTTGCTGCACTTTTTATCAATTGTGCCAAATGTGGTGCAGTGTCCTCTAAAAACAGATGCTGTTCAACTTGAATCTGCTCTAAATTTGCTCAGTGTTCCACTTTCAGAACACAATGTTCCCTATGAGGAGTATGTAAATGTCAACAACAGCCACTTTGCTGAAGAGGGTGTTTTTGGTGAATTTTCAGCAGAGACAGTGAAAGGAGTCAAAGGAGACTGTACAAAATGTACTTGAAATGTATGTTCTTGTGTCCTCCACTCCCATCTGACATGTCCTCTTCGCGCTTTTGAAATACCGGTACTCGTGTTTTGCAGAACATTTGTATATACAGTACTGTACTTCATGTCATCTTTTCAACAGACAAATGATATTAATGCTGAATTCTGATTGACAGCTGTTTCCAGGAGAACATATCAAAACATCCTACAGTGAGCATTCATGCATAGTTCACTAATCTGCTTCGCCAAATTGCTCACCGTCATTTATGTACTTATATATACAGCACTGTACATATATATATATATAT